GTGGATGGAGTGGCTTAGTTACTTCATCTTTTTTCAAGTAGTTATGAAGGGCAAAACCTGCCTTAATAATGTTATCCTGCTTCTCCCTAGGATAGTGTGGCACTCCTTTCAACATGTGCCACCTAGCTTTGACCACCCCAAATAATCTTTCCACCACATTATGCAAACTAGCATGGTGGAAATTGAACACCTCGTTAGGACCTTGAGCCGACCTATCGCCAAACTCTTTCAAATGGTACCTGTGCCTTTTTTTGTGGCCCCAAATAACCATGTTCACCTGCATACCCCGAGTCCACGAGATAGTACCTACCTGCACATGACAACCCCTTCAACTTATCAGCACATCAAACATCTGCATTACCATGATAACATCGGGTTCAATTTTATAACAGCAAATGCAACTAACCTGGGTTTCGTCCAAGCTTCCCTAAGGACCCTCATATCAGGAACTGCCCCCACCATGCCAACACCAAGAAATGTAACCCACCTATCAAAGTCACAAACTGCGACCACATTTTAGCTAGGCCAACCGTGCCTATTTATGTAATCATCATGGAACACCCTATCAACACTGATCCTGATGTGTGTCCCATAGATAGCGCCTATTGCGCCATCAAATAAAGGTGTGTACTTGTGCGGCCTATCATGCACTTTTGACATGTCTACGTGCCTAGGTGTACAAATCACGTCTGCAAAGTTAGCGACACATTCCAACACTTGACCAAACCTCTCGCTAACCGTCCCAAGACACCTTTTAAACCATTCTCCCATGTCCCCCTGTCCGACTTATTTTGCTAGTGCCCAAAGAAACATCCCTAAAGCCTCCTGTGTATCAAAGTCCCTATAGTCTCGTAGGCCATGGTTACTAATTAGCATTTCATGCAGTTCAAAAAAAAGCAGTAGGTTCCATACGAAAATTTAGACCACTCCTTTTTGGGTGAGAAAGAACCTTGCATACCCACTGACTGTCGTTCAACTCTTGCCAACCGAAGCAAGGAGGTGGTACAGAGACATCACCTACAATGACTCACGTATCCATGTGATCATGACATATCTCACATCCTCCTAGTAACTAGCTATTTGGAATCACTTGAATGTTCACTAGAGCTGTCACTACGCGACATGCCTCTTCAATCTCTTTGCAATCGGTCCCCTGATACAAAACAACATCATATTAATTGCACAGTCCTACAAACAAATAGTTATCATCCTGAAGTTTCCAATTTACGAATAGAAGTACTAACCTTACAGCACTGCTGACCAGTTCTCATGATGATGCCCAGCCGCTGCAACAACCTGCAAACCAGCAAATGGAACAAGTTAGTTACAGCAGTTGTACATTATAAAGCCGCACTAATGCATAGATAGATTAGATTGAAACCACATCAAACATTCAGTACAGGTACTCAAACCATGTCCGACATATACGAGGTCAAATGAAAACAAAAATATGCCCAACAGAAGGTTCGTTACATAGTGACAACTAAAACAAATGCTGTATGAAAGCAAACTAGGTAGGCTTCACTCAAACACGCGACTGCTTATCGGGGACATTATTTGCTGCCAGCATTTCTGCCATTCTTCTAGGTCCAGGTGATGTAAGTGAGATGATCTTCTCTATCATCGATGTTCTTGTACTATTCATGGCACCCCCTCTTCTGGAAAAGGTCACATGCCATAAGGAACAACTCTGACTTTTGGGAGACACCATCATCACGCAACATTTGCATGACCTCAGCCATCTCCTCTGCTTCAGTGGGCTTTGCACACCTAGCCCTGATGCTGTCAGATATGTCGGCCAAGTACTCTCCAACTTCCTTCGACCTCTTTGCTTTCTTTGGGCTTTGACTTCATTGTCTGTCGTGGCCCTTTTGGAGGAGGCTCCGGCACTAGAATGGCCAAACGGTACGAAGGGTGTCCTAGGGGAGTGCATGTTACATCTTGAACACCACCCGTAGCATTGAATGCCCCCCTCTCCCGGTGATGATCCCCAAAAAGGGCCTACAGTTCATCGAAGTGGGCGACAGGGGTCTCAAAGGTTCTGTGATCACTTTTCGGTTCTGCATAATGGTAACCATATGTTGGGATTAGTGGAAAAGGACAAATAAGACCACATGTTGGGATTAGTGCATAATGACAAAGGAAAGGGACGAGGCATTACGCGCCGTGGCTGCCTCCTTGAGTGTGGTTGGGTGCCAAGTCCTTGTCCACAAGCTCGCTCTGTGGTAGGGTCCCTTGAGGCCTGTTTTGTTCTGTAGGGTTTGCCAGTTGAGGAATTTCTTTTTCATGTCAGTGAATTTGTTGCGGATCTGCTTCTCGTCGTACGGCAGCCCCGCATTCCTACAACCCTGGTACACATTCCTCCACCCTTCCTTACTTGGACCCTGTTTACACCAGTTGTATTGGTTCTTCTCATTTTGACAGATGTCGAGCAGCAGTTTGGAATGTGTTGTTTTCTAGTTCGCACGTGGAGCATGCATCTGTTGAATGGCAGCAATGTACGCATCGGTTGTGTATAGTAGGACCATGGATTGAGTAGCAAGCAGAAACGTACGCACTCACACAAAAGCTAAGTCCAACGAGAAAGGGTCGGAGTTGAACTCACCTTGAATGGATGATTGGATGATCGCGGACGTAGGATGTACTGCGGTCGTGCAGTAGGAGAGCAGGACGACGGGGATGACAGTGCCAGCGTAGGGAGCGGTGCGCAGATGGTACTGCACAAAGGTTCCTACAACGAAGGAATACGACAAAGTAAGTTATGAAATGTATGAACATGTGCATTACAGAGGCAACACAAGTGCACGGCTTCATAGCACTAAATAAAAACAATATCCTTACACACATAGACTTTCATTCAAGGATTAACCTCAAATGACGAGACCTAATATTAAGAAAACATGATTATATGTATTCTAACTTGTCTAATCAAAGGCACCATATTAATTATCTAACTGAAAATTCTTTGCAAACCATAGATAGGCCATGCATGACACTAATCTGCTGCTACCGTACAGCCTCATCAGAATGTATATATTACTATCTAGATTAGTTAATAGCAATGGCGCTTATTACTATAGTTAATGTAAGTCATAAGGTCACCCTAAGGATTTCCTACTAGACTGCACGCATACGCAGCCAAGTTCAATAGTTCTCAAAACACAATTTGAATTAGTGTTCTACAATCCAATGAAAAGATAAATAAATGTACCGAACTATAACTTTGTAAAATCCATAGACCTAAATGCGAATCTCTCGTAACCCCATACTCTCCATCTCTCGGGCAGACCATTTCACAAAGGAAATGCACATAGATCCGGAAGTCTTACGGTTGTGGTGGTGGAGACGACGGCGACCTTGGCGGCCACGACCCTAGCGGCGACCAAACAAGCGGGCGGAGCTAGTTGGAGGAGCATGACGTCGAGGACGGATTCAAGACAGGCGGATCTGAAGGGTGAGCGCGGTTGGGGATCTTGAGGCCGATTGCCGGAGTTGGAGGCGGCGGATGCAGGAGGTGCGATGGGCGAGGTGGAAGGCGGACGATCACGGGGGAGGTTCGATGGGAGGGGCCGACCTTGGCTGCAAGCGGATGCGAGAGGTCCGATCGCGAGGCTCGAGCTTAGTTCTGCGGCCGGTGCGGGAGGTCCGATAGGAGGGGCCGAGCTTGGCTGCGGCGGATGGGGGAGCCCGATGGGATGGCGCGAGGTTGAGGGGCGGCCGCTCTTGATGAATCGGAGGGGAGGGGCCAGAGTTTGCGGGAGGCGGCTGGTAAGGAGGAATCCTAGGGTGGCTTGAGCGAATGGGAGAGGAGAGGGAGACCAATGGCGGCTGGCTGGCTGGTATATATACCAGTTGGTTTGGGCTGAAATGATCAGCCCACTCCAGTCACTTCCAGTCCAGCCCCAACCAGCCGAACAGGGTGTATATATGTGCACCTCGATCGATCATCTCAACGACTAAAACACAATGAAACCCAATTTTACAATTGAATAATGCTTCGTAAACCGGCTTAGCCAATTTGGGAAGAAGTAGGCTCCCAGAATGAGGGTGGCCGGGTTTCTTCCAAAATCGACCGACCGACCGACCGGTTCCCCCGAATCAGTCGGGATTATATCCACCCAAAATAATTTTGCGTGCGAATTGAACAAAAGAAAAAGAGCAGGCCAGGCAGAGAGTAAAGTGTGAGTGTGAGATGGTAGTTGCAAGTAGCTAGCTAGTCAATCATGTCAGTGTCGTGGTCTCGCTCAACAGTCGCGTCGCGTGCGAAGCCAACTCGATGTCAAAATGAACACACACTAACTACCAGAAGGCAGGCAGCAGCTTGGTTGTTTCTTTCTCCCGTTCCCACTTAGCTAGAGAGCTAGTAGCTGGCTGATGTAGCTCCATCATCCCAAAGTCGTAATCGTAACCACGCTGCCGTCGATCGTGTCCTGCAAGCTGCTTGATTGCTTAGCTTAGCTTAGCTTACTGGATAGATGAGCTAGCTAGCTAGAGAACAGTCGTCTGAACCGTACGTCGTCTCTATCCACCGCTTAATTGCATTGCTCTTGCTCATGTAGTTGGAGCTAGCTAGCTCCTGTATTTCAGTTACCTCCATCGCTACCAAATAATAGCAACGCCCCGGCCGCCCGCGTGATCGAGTGACATGCCAGCCACGGTTAACCAACCAACCAACCTGCTTTTCAATGGAAATTAAACCTAGATATCTACCAATAATACCATCCATGAGTGGCAGTACCGTACGCGTACCAGGGATTATTATTAATTCTGGATTGGATTAATTGGGGAAGCAAGCAGCAGCACCACAGCCACATCCACAGGTGGCCGGGTGCATGATACTATGATGATATATGATGCATGGTTTCTTCTTCAATTGCAATTGCAATCCTATCGTCGTCGTCGCAAGCCGTCACTGCTCGTGCTCCAGCCTCGATATCGAGCTCGCCACACACACAGACACAGCTACCTCCGATCTCCTCCAGGCTCCAGGTCGCGTCGCCATGGTTCATCATAAACCACAGGTACGTTGGGTGGGGTGGGTGGGCTGCTTCCATCGTTCCTTGTCGATCCAACACCCATCATATCCATCAGTTGCTCGCTCGAGCTCGACCTGGAGCTCTCTCCATGTTCATCTTCATCAGAGCTGCCTTTAATTTCGATCCGTCCAGCAGGCTAGCCTATTATTCGATTGATTCGATCTGCTGCCTGTGCGCGCAGGGCTCCACTTTGCCGATGGGAGACGATGGCGGCCTTTCCATGCTGGAACATGGCGGCACATTATTATTATCTGTTGTAGCTGTAGATGATCAGGGGCAGGGGCAGGTGCAGGTGCAGGGCCATCAAGAAGAAGAAGAAGTCGACCACGACGACATCTCCTCCTCCTCGTCATCGTCCTCGTCCTCACCCACCGGGAATAAGCATAAGCAGACGAGCTGCCTTCTGCCAGCACGCAGCCTGAGATCAACAAATGAAGCATGTCATAGCCAGCAAGCAGACGGCGGCGGCGGCCGGTCGCTGTCCTTCTCCAAGATCTTCAGCTTCAGAATATGGGCGCCCGCCGGCGCATCCCTGTCCAGCTCCACCTTGGAGGATTACATTATTGATCAACACCAACTCGAGCATGATGCTGCTGCTGCTGCCGGTGCCGGTGCTGGTGCTGCCAAGGATAAGAACAAGGACGAGGAGGAGAAGCTGAAGCAGGTATGCCGCTCGCAGTCCGTGCCAGCTACGAGCGTCGCCAGGCGATTCAGCAGCACCGCAAAAGGAAAAGGGTCGAGGAGAGTGCCAGACTCCAGCTCTCTCAGGCGGCTCAGACTGGTTCCGCTGCGTGTTCCTCTTCATCCTCCTCCTCCTCTAGATCAGGCCGCAAGCGCCACAGCCGGAGGAGAAGAGGAGGAAGAAGAACAACAGGAGGAACAAGATATCGCCGCCGAGGAGGCGGTGTGCCGCATCTGCATGGTAGCCCTGTCGGAGGAGGCGGTGCTCAAGCTGGAGTGCTGCTGCAAGGGCGAGCTGGCCCTGGCGCACAGGGCCTGCGCCATCAAGTGGTTCAGCATCAAGGGCAACGGCACCTGCGACGTGTGCAGCCAGGAGGTGCTCAACCTTCCAGTCACCCTGCGGCGCCTGCCGGACCCTGACGACCCTGCCCGTCCACCATCCGTCGTTCAGGCCGCGGTGGCTCTGGCTCAGGCACAGGCGCAGCTGCTGCAGGGCACTACGCAAGCTGATGGTGGTGCTGGTGATCCTACCGCAACCACCACCAGCAGATACAGCAGCTACAGGGTGTGGCACGGCACGCCAATCCTCGTCATCGTCAGCATGCTCGCCTACTTCTGCTTCCTGGAACAGCTGCTGGTCAGTTGCTTGCTGCCTGCTCTCTCTACTTCTGCTTCCTCCTTCCTGGAACAGCGGCTGATCAGAATGAAAATGGAAATGCAGGTCGGCGACCATGGCACGGCGGCTCTGGCCATCTCCTTGCCCTTCGCCTGCGTCCTTGGCCTCTTCTCCTCCCTAACCACAACAAAGATGGTGTCCAGGAGATATGTATGGATCTACTCTGCAGTGCAGTTCCTCTTCATTGTGCTCTTCACGCACATCTTCTACAGATACGTAAGAACCTAGCTTGATCCATCATCTTTAGACTTTAGGTCCATGCATCTCTACCACTGTCCACGCATTTGATCATGTCATCATCCTGCTGTGCTGTGCTGTGGTGTGTGAACCAATCAACCAATCCAAGCAGGTGCGGATGCAAGCCGTGATCGCCATCATCCTGTCCACCTTCGCGGGCTTCAGCGTCGCCATCTGCACCAACTCCGCCCTCCTCCGGATTCTCAGATGGAGGGCCAGGCACGCTGTGGCATCGCCCACCACAACCGCTACAGCTGCCGACGCTCAGGGCCATGGTTCCAGTTCCAGGGACAGGGGGCCACCAGTGGCAATGGCAGTGGCAGTGGCGGAGCCAGACATTGAGATCGCTCTGCCTCCTGCTCATGCATAGAGCGCTCCCCTTCAAGATAGTATCATCCAGTCGTCATCAGATCTCTCTGTATATATATTCCATTCCAGGGGAGTTCGCTCCAGCTCCAGCTAGCATTGTTTGTTTGTATGTGTATATAATAATTCATAGCTCCACGTACCTTCTGTTTTCCGTGACCTCCATCTATCTCCTACGACTAAAAACAATAAAGTGTAGATATTTTTTAGTACGACATTTGTTTTGATTCATCCGTTTACCCACACCTGTGATCCCACAACATCTCTCGCATGCATAATTCTCCTTGATTAAATATTATCTGTCATGTGATAGAGGAATCACGGCAAAATAGGAAGTAGAAAATTATTGTGCTATCCATATACACATTGCATGTTTGTATGCACCAGCATACATGGCAACGAGCAAAAGTAAAGAGAATTAATATAGAAGAAAAGAAAATTAAAATAAAATGAACCTCTTTGCATTTCTAAAAACCTTGCCAAATCTACCTACATTTAATTACTTCTCCTCTTTGTATTTGCAAAAGGGGCAACTTTTTTCTCCTGTCATTTGGTTTCACGCTCACGTGTTCCATCACCCTCGCTTACTGTGTCTTGCTGAAATTGCCCTTGGGTCTGTTCATTTTGAATCCTTTCCATATATTCCCGTTCCTCAATCCATGGTCCATCGCGACAGTAGACACTAGACATCATTTCTTGCATGAACCATAGTTGATGTCATCTGTCTTTCATGGCTCAGCCTCTCAATCCCAAGAAAAAGTCCCTACCTCTCTCTGACTGGAGATCCGGCCTGCCAGAGGATCTCCTCGAGTCCATCGGACAGCGTCTCGCGTCAGGCCACGATATGACGTGAAATATATTGTAGAATAATGTATCCACTTGAGTGTCTGTTCCAAGATATTGAATTAGGTGTTGTAATTTTTAATTTCGACATATTTTTCAGGTCAAGGCAACCAATTATGACACTTTTCTTAGTGGTGTATAATTTTATGGTGCACCTCTTGACTATCTGAGTAAGGACAAGTTAGCACTGTAAAGGCTCAGAAAAGCTGCTGAGAAGGTCAAGGTTGAGTTTTCCTCCACTATGCATACTAAAACATATGTCCCCGTTTATCATTGCCGATGCTTTTGATGCAAAGCAATTCAACATTACCGTGATCAGATATAAGTTTGAGTCTCTTGTGAATAATCTCATAGAGGGACTCTCATATTTTATGTGATCTGCCTCAAGGATATTGGCAGGACGATGGATCTATATTGGAATGTCGCACCAAAAAGTGTTCATGTTTTATCCACGATTTATTTCCCATGAATACATGCGGGTACTATGATAACACTAACTACACCAAATGAAAGATTAGAGAGAATTTGCATTGCCTCCAGAAAGATTTATTTATTAAGTTCTTTGAACTCTACAGGTAGTTTTGAAATATCTGCCAATATAAAACATTATCTTAGCCGCATCACGGAAAGGTCTATAAAGTAGAGTTTGTGAGCCTGCGACGCCGCGTACTTCGTGACTATGTTAAATTCATAAACTTTACTTTTTAGATTAAATATCACTTTAACGTTGGTATTTAATTTTTATAGTATTATTATCTTATCGTGCGATCCGTGTGTTTTTAGTATAAATTGTTAGTTATCTCATAGTAACGTACGATCACGCTACCTACCTAGTATGTATAAATCCGAGCACGATCTTTCTTCAAAACTGAAAGCAAAGTAAAGACAGCAAAACAGAAGCATGATAAAGGGAAAAGGATTTAATTTTATTTGACTATATATATGCCGATCTGTTCCAATTTCACTCCTCTAAATCCTCAAGCTGACCACTCTTCTACTAGTACTGATTTCTCCTTCTCCCTCGTCATCCAGCAAGGGAAGGGAAGATTGCAGAGGAGGATCCACATCCACCTCAAAACTAACAGCCAACCCTCAGCTACATGTGAGAGCGAATAGGTCTCAGGAAATTGTGATATATTGATATGGATATAGGGAGTACAAGTACAATATATAGGCAAGGATCAAGAAGGGTTTATAGAAACACCCAATCAACGGTTCCAATTTCACTCTAAATCCTCAAGCTGACCACTCTTCTTCTACTAGTACTGATTTCTCCTCCCTCGTCATCCAGCAAGGGAAGGGAAGATCGCAGAGGAGGATCCACATCCACCTCAAAACTAACAGCCAACCCTCAGCTACATGTGAGAGCGAATAGGTCTCAGAAAATCGTGATAGATTGATATGGGTACAGGGAGTACAAGTACAATATATAGGCAAGGATCAGGAAGGGTTTATAGAAACACCCAATCAACGGTGATCCTCGCCATGTATGATACTTCAATGCCCTACAGTTCGTCCTTCAGGTTCGTACCAGAGCTCTTCACACCCTGGCGCTTCAACTTGAAAGGGATGCTAGCATGTTTCTTGATGAACTTGTACATATCTACCACTGTCCGCTCCCCCTCAAAAGTGATCTGAAAAGGTATAGCAAAAACAAATCAACACATGGAATCAGTCAATGTTCATACCTTAGGAGATGCATGCGACCCCAAACGTTTTCCTGTTGCCTGGTCAACTAATACATGGTTGAGGAGAGTTAAGCTTCTCCTAAAACTACAAATTGGTTTTATCAGAGAAGCTCGAGACTATGTGACAAACAATTAATAAACTCTTTTACTGGCTAGCCATGGTGTTTCGTGGCCATTTCTCCGCTCCTCTTTTGATCTTAACCACTAATCTACTGGATCTGCAATTCCTCACGTCACTAAATACTAACAGTGAACTGAATTTTCGACCACAAAGAGTGATCTACACCATAGTCCGTAGGGCATAAATAAGCATAACCGCCATGAAAAATTACGAAATGTTTACAGGTATGGAGGATTGTCAATGCAAGAATCATGTTAGCCAGGAGTGAGCTAGCTTCATATTGCACCTAAGATAGGTGCTTCTGTTTTAGCTGCAGTCCCAACAATGCATAAAGATAGCACTGCTGAGAATAATGTGATTAATGCCTAACAGATACCACGCATCAACAAGTAAAACGATAGAGTTATAAGCACTTACAGGCTCAAAGCTTTTCTTCCCAGCTGGATAGAAGAGAATCGTTGGGTATCCGTCAGACTGTAACAGGAACCCAAGTGTCAGATTTGTATCATGCAAATATGGTAGTAAAACTGAACATAATGCATATCAGCAAACAGTTAATCACATTTCCCATGCATTGAAATTCAAGAAGACAACCTAAGCAGACTACCAAATTATGTCTACAATAAGAGCCACGCTTAAAGCTGTTCGAAATAATCATGTGTCCAAGTCCAGCTAGTATCTAAGTTCATTGCTACTAGTGCTAGTTAGATTTCAGCTTGTAGTTAACGACAATAATGGACAGATCATATGAGCCATTGACTGCATTAATTAGGAGGATATCATGGGCAGTAGTGGATCTACGGCCCGGGCTGCCCGGGCTGCAGCCCTGGTCTTGGACAAGAAAACATCACTAGAGCTACTAATAAAATGTGTAGAAGGTTATAAAATCACAAAAGATGAAGACTAATTTAACTGAGTCAGCCCTGGTCCAAGACAATTTCTGGGATCCGCCACTGATCATGGGCAGGTTAATAGAATAATAGCCCTGTATCAGCTATATATATGTGACAAAAAGATGAGGGCATGTGTGGCAACATCGAACAAAAACTATTTGTTTTGTTTTGTGCATGTGTGTGTCCAGCAGAGAGAAAAAGTAGTGCTTGCTTGTGATAAACACTCAAAAGCATCACCCACCATGTATGGAATGGCAAGTGAAGCAGATAAGCTGCATCATAGGATTCATAGGCCTTAATCCATAGTGTCATCGTGCGTCCAGGTTCTCTCACAAGTACTGGATCAAAAAATCTAAGTTAACAAGCTCCCCTTGGCATTGCTTGGAAATTACCATTTACCAAAATACTGATTCACATATAGTACCATACTACCCTGGCACAGAGGGCGTACCCAGTGCAGAGAGCTCCCGCTCTGTGCGGGGTCTGGGGAAGGGTGCAAGCCTTACCCTCGCCTGTGCAATGCGAGGAGACCGCGACTCGAACCCGGGACCTTCCGGTCACAGGCGGTAAGACTCTACCGCTTGCACTACCCTGGCATAGAGGTGGGAAGTAAATACACTCTGGCATGCATAAAGCAGCAGACCAGGAACAGATCCATATATTCTTTTGTCCATCATAAGACAATGCATCTTTGAGCAAAAAAGAAAGGCAAATGATGTTCACGTGTCATGACTACTAATGGCATAGCCAGCAAACTTTAGACATTGCAGTGCCTTGCAAACTTAGTGCTCCCCTTGATGGTGTTTTTTTAATGCTAGCTTTAGATCTGTGCTGCACTACACTACAAAATATGAACATAGATATGTTCAAAATTATAAAGTTGGCATTGGCTATAGATACTGTCATTAAAACACATTTTTCTAGCATTACAGTTTTTATAAATCCTAAAGCCAAACCATTTTCAAGAAAACGGATGGTCAGCCAAAACCAACCATCGAAGGCAGTAATACAAACCTTTGCACGTGGATGTTCATTGGCAGTACCATCCATTTTAGCTATCACAAGGGAGTCAACGCCACGTAGATGCTTGGCTAGTTTGTTGTAAGTAGGCTCCAGCGATTGACAGTGCCCACACCATGGTGCATATATCTACATCCAAACAGCATGTCATTATTAGTAACAAACAAGTCCTATTTTCATAAAGTGATAAATGCATGGCTGGCCCCCACTGTGCCTAAAGCTGAGTTTGCGTTCCTTTTGTCACTTTGCAACATTGCCCCTGCTGTTCCTGAAATTTTGCACCGTTGCCCCTAGTTTGTGTAAGCAAAGTATCGGCAATGGTGAAAACATATTGAGAACAGCTGGGGCAACGTGCAAAAAGTGAAAGAAAAAAGCGAGGAAAATTAGCCCACAAAGTGGGGGCAACCATGCCGATGTCCTTTCTTAAATGCCTGCCAAA